TGTTCTTCTGTGTGACTTCATCAGCCTCATCGTGAACGTACAAACTCTCGTTGCCAGTAAATTATGAAAATTTTATTTCTGAATGTTCTCTAAATGTTGAAAACGTTTTAAAAACTTTTTTCCTGGTTATGAACGTTAAGGAAACATTGTATCATTCATCTTCAAACATTATGGAACGTTACTTTTGAATGTTCTCTGAACGTTCTGAAACAAGTAACATTTAAAAATGTCCAACTTCTAATGTTTTAGATTTTTTTTTTCCAATGAACGATGTATAAATAATGTTTTTGTGCTAATGTTTTGAGAACATTATTACAGTAAAGACCAGATAACTGTGAATAAACGCTCTATTAACGTTATTGGAAGAACGTTTGATCATAACTTTGACAGAACGTTCCCTGTTATCTGGAACTGTTGAAAAAGCAAAAGAAGAATAACATAAAAGTTATGAGTAACTTTAGAATAAAAGGTGTGTGTGTGTGTGTGTGTGTGTGTGTGTGTGTGTGTCATTGTGTGTGTGTGGTGTGTGTGTGTGTGTGTGTGTCAGTGTGTGTGTGTGTGTGTGTGTGTGTGTGTGTCAGTGTGTGTGTGTGTGTGTGTGTGTCAGTGTGTGTGTGTGTGTGTCAGTGTGTGTGTGTGTGTGTGTGTGTGTGTGTGTGTGTGTCAGTGTGTGTGTGTGTGTGTGTCAGTGTGTGCAACTGAAATGTATTATTAATTTCCTTCAAAGTCTCAGGTGTGTTTTGTTGGAGTAAATAAGCACTATATCTCTCTGTCAGATTACCCTATGAAATATAAAGTAGACACACACACACACACACACACACAGGCCTGTATATAAATACATATAAAGGTCATCTATGACTCCTGATGTCATTTCTTCTGTGGCGAAGAGCTTCCAAACTCTGATTTCATTTTCACATCAGCATGGTTTGATGGACAGGTGATGGTGTCGTGTTACAGTGAGTTTTATACAAGCTGTTATTAAAAACAACCAAACCTTTACTGTACTATAGCTTATGACGAAGACAACTTTTTAATAATAGAAGAATTATCTATTAATATTAGTAGCATGCTGATCATAATTTCATTTATTTATTTATTTTTTTGTTCTATACTCTTATCATGATTCAAAATACATTATTACAACACAAATCAACCCTCAAAACATCTTTTTATGTAAGAAACGGGGTAATTATGTATCATCAAAGTCCATGCACGCTCTGTTGAAGCGACAACACAGCTGCTGTCAATCATGTGCAGATTTTCACTAATAAACTTTTTTATTTTAGTCTTGTTGTCATTTTTTTGGGGGGGAAAACAATGTCGCCTCCGTTTCTCACTGACGAAACTCTAACTCGGAAACTCGGAGCACCAATCTGGAGTTTCCCACTCGTAAATACGACCAAAACAACAAATGTGGGGGCGGGGCTTGATTGTGTCCGTGAGGATTTGATTGGTTGTGGTTTGCTATTGGCTGATCTCATGTGAGTGACAGGTTGCCCCGCCCTCGTCATCAGAGAAGAGAAGAGATGCTGCTGTGTGTGTGTGTGTGTGTTCTGATTCAAGATTATTAACACAATAATGATGTGCACCGATAAATCAGTTACAATAAACACTGCAATATTCCATAAAACAGCAAGAATTGTCATTTGATTTCATGGTGACTTTAATGGCTTCAAAGTAAAGCAGAGATAATTAAGTACAACGATATTAGTGAAAGCTTTTGTGTTCTTAAAGGCTTCTCTCCCAAAGGATTGTGGCTGCATGTAAAACGGTCCTCCAGAATCTCAGTTTGTGTTGCACTGAAGAAAGTCATTAGCGTGAATAAATGATGTTTAATATTTTGATGAACGAACCCTTAAAAGTGTGGAGACGACTTCAGTTTCGAGATCTTGGATTTAAAGCAGCGGATTGATCTTGCTCATGGTTGTCATCTTGACTAATTGAGCTTTATGACCGTTTGTCTTACAAGCTTGTTATGATTTATGTAGTGTATGAAGGTTGACGTGTGTGTAGTGTGTTTACTAGATTTGCTTCAATGCACCTCTCCTCTATAGGTTATGATGGCCATGAAACCGCATTACTGGAGGGTCAAGAGGTCACCGGTGGTGTGTGTCGAACCGTCTTCATGATCGTGATCCTCAAATCACCCTTAAATGCAATAATGCTCATAATATCATTGTTTAGAGCCACGAACTGCAGAGTCTCTTTTGCTCATCAACCCTGCATTTATTTGATCAAAAATACAGGAAAAACAGGAAAAAAATAGAAAAATTATTCCAGTGTAAAATCTGCTGTTTTCTATGTGAATATACAGTAAAGTGTAATTTATTCCTGTGATCAAAGCTGAATTTCCAGCATCATTACTCCAGTCTTCAGTGTCACATGATCCTCAGAAATCACTCTAATATGAGGATCTGATGCTCGAGAAACATTTATGATTATTATCAGTGTTGAAGACAGTTGTGCTGCTTCATATTTTTTAGGAAACATTTTATTTTTCAGGCTTTTTTGATGAATATAATTTTTTTGTAACATTACAACAAACACTTTTGATCAATTTGATGTATCCTTGCTGAATACAACTTCATTTCTTTCAAAGAGAAATTCTTACTATTTAAAATATAAAAGAATGAACTGTTGCTAATTGATTTATTGTCTGAATGATCATGTTTTTGACTCTCGAACGGTATAGGCAGCGTGAGGATGGGAGAGTTACTCGTCTAACGCACATCTGTTCTCTGAACTGCTGCTAAAAACACTTTCTGTCAAGTTAAAAAAGCAAAGACATTTCCAACATGTCCACTGTGTTCTGGCCAAAAGCCATGTGGAAGTTTGATTTGCAAACATTTAAAGCAGGAGAATGGTGTTTATTTATAACTTGTGATGTTTTAAGGGCACATAAAGAGTTTTAAGCACTTAAATCAGATGAATTATGCTTTTTAATTTTTTAACAATGCATATATCACACTAAAGTGTCAGGCCCGCAGGATTGTGACTGTATGATATCTTTATGTAAGCCACTGATGAACTGGTGTCCTTTAATTGTCTGCATTTGATCCTTGAATGGGACAATGTCAATAAATGATTATACAAATTGTTTTTCCTTAAAGTATTGCGTATGAATGACTAAATCTGTAGTCTTTGATTTGGAGATGATTTGCTGTGACGGGGAATCAGAGAGAGCAAATGAAAAGTGGATCTCTCAGGAGCCGTCGAGGGTTAAACTGCTCGACACACACACTGCTTTTGTCCTGAAGGACACGGGTATTAAAAAGAAATATTACTTCATGAAAAGCCACAGCACAGCGTCCCTGGCTCTTGTAACTAATGTGTTTTTCAGTGAAAAGCCTGTTAGTTTCTGAAGAAGCAGCAAACGCTGTGTTTACTGCAAGCCAAGGCTCAGATCAACTTCTCAATGCTCCTCGTCCTTCTCTAACGTCTGAAGCACAACTCTGAATGCATTAGAAATGTTACATTATTGACAGACTAACTCGGTTGGGTTTTTTGTAAATGTATTGAGTTTAGTCACGGCAAAATGATCTTTCCAGTGCCTTCCATCATGTGCACATTAATGACTGATGAGAAACTCTTGCAGGGAAGTGTTCGCTGACCGGGAGAATGAACGTTTTATTCACCATTACACTCTTTATTCACCAACACTCTTTAAAAAGGCTTTTATCATGTAAGGTCACATTAAAAGTTATGTGTTCTTCTCCTCCATTGGTGCCCTGTGTAACCAGATTTTAGTTAAAAAAAGAAAAAGAAAATAAGGGACAGGTGGAAGTATAATAACCTATAATGGAAGAAAAATAAATCTAAGTTCGACAAAGTTCTCTTTAAGTGTAAAAATGCAAAAAGTTTATTGGCTCAAGAGCTGAGACTGTGTAAGCACAGTCTGTTCACAAAAGTAATGCATTCAAAAATATAATTTTTACGAATGTACATCAAGTAATAATATGATAAATGTACAATGATAGCGAATGCACGTCACACTTGTCAATACGCAGTTTAGCACATGCGATGACAATATATTTAGAAAGAAAATCCTTTCTTGTGCCGTTCAATAGCAGAGTACACCGATAGGTGGCAGTGAGTATTCTCAGGTAGAATATCCCAGTATCTCAGCAGCAGTCGCTCAGCTGTCACACACACACACACACACACACACACACACACCACACACACACGCTCGCGCGCGCGCAGGAGTGAGTCTCGCGCAGAGAGAGTTTCAGCAGCGAACAGAAAGTGAACAGGGGGGCATTTCACTCACACACACACACGCACACACACAGCACTCGGACAGTGCCTGGATTAAACCTCTCCCGGAGCTTTGAGCGATGCGCTGGCAGAATGGCCCGATGGTTCAAGGAACACCTGGGATTCAAAACCACCAAAGCCCCGCCGCCCGCGCCTCCGAAGCCGGACTATCGACACTTCCACCCGGGCATCTCCAGCGCTGCTCCCGCGCTCCTGCTCCAGGGCTCGGCGCTCATGCCCGCTCAACCCGACATACTCACCGCATACAAACTCCAGAAGGAGCTGGACTTCGAGGACCCGTACACCCCGGCCGGGAACATGAGCATGCCCTTCTCCTCCACGGGACTGAGCTCCACGGGCTCGCCGGACGTGAAGTTCGTGTCTCCGAAGCACGGCTCATCAAGGTGGAGGCGGCCGAGCGGAGCGGCTCGAGCCCGGGCAGCAGCAGCGCGGTGGACCGCGGTCAAATCCCCGGTTCTCCACCCGCGGAGACCGAGAACAGTAAACCGGAGAAGGTAAGAGACCGATGCGCGCTCACCTCCACCAGGTACGAGCAGAGCAGGTGAGCCGCTCTTCAGCATACGGACTGAGCATCACTTCTCATACACATGTGATTTTTAAATGGTTTTCAGTTTTAAAAAAAATAAAAAATAATTTTAGTAAAAACTGTTATATTAATTATTTATTTATTTGATATTTTATATAAATGTAACTTGTTTTTATTTATTAAATTTGTCATTAAAAAAATAAAATTATCATAAAATAGTGTTTTGTTTAGTAAAAACTTTCTAAATCACTTATTTATTTGATCCTTCTATATAAAAAACACATGTTATTATGATTTTTAAATGGTTTTTATTTTATTTGTATAAAATATTTTTTCTTATTTTTTTTTCTTAAAAACTTTTATATTAATAAATTATTTATTTTTATGAATTTTAATAAATGTAATATTTGCTTGGATTTAAGTGAATTAAATTAGCTTAAAGGATTTAAGTGTGCGGGACAGTTTATTTATTTATTATTTTTTGAGATCTTTAGTCTTGTGTGTCTGGCACCTTGATGATCAACTCCTTCAAAATAAATGTAATATTACAATTTTTAATAATTAATTATTAAATTATCATAAAACTGTTTTGTTTAGTAAAAAACTTTGTTATATTAATAACAAATTTATTTTATCCTTCTTTAAAAGTAAATAAAATTAAAAAACATTTACATTTAGTGTATCAAAAAATATTTGTATTATTAAAATCATAATTTTAATATTAATATTATTAAACTTTTATTTAATTTATTTAACCTTTCTTTAATCAAGAACAAGAAACAAAAATAAATAGTTTAATATAAACAAAAAAAATAATACAATTTCATCATACAAAATCTAGCCTATGAATAGTAATACATCAAAATTTCAAGTGTCTAGTTAAAAAAAAAAACTAAGTTATGAATTTAGACCATAGGGTTTAAGATCTGCAGACATTTTTATTTGGGTATGTCGTTTTCAGAAAATTCTCAGAAACAGGGGTGCTGATTAGGAGGTTAACCTGTTGTAACAGTGATGAAGCTGAAGGTGATTCCCTGCTAGTGTGGAGTGTCTGCCAGTTTACTCGTTCTGGCGGAGTGTGTGTGTGTGTGTGTTGTGTGTGTGTGTGTGTGTGTGTGTGTGTGTGAATAGGCTGAGCTCTGCGTCATAACCGGTCCAACGAGTTGCTTCATGTGTTCCACAACGTTACGGGTTCACACTGCTCACACTGGTCTGAGTTCAGATTAACATCCATCAGCATCTCTGAAAGTCTTTAGCTTATTCTGTTTATGTTTATCCTTCATAGCACTCAGTGACACTTACACTATATATTATATTGTTTTCCATATATTTTGGGGTTGGAAATGAAAACATCATCTCCAGAAGATAGAATTAATCCATTCAGGATCTACAATTCAACTTCCACTTAGTACTTTGCATAAAAGTTTTCATAAAGTTTCATTTAACACCCATTTTAAATGCACTAAATTGTTTATGCAAAATATTTAGGAAGCTTGTAAAAAATATAAAGAGCATTAGCAATTACAGAAAACACACTTCAGCAGAACATGATCAGCTCAAAGTGTGTGAGTAATCTTTGGCCCCAAATGTGTGTAAATGTCACTGGTAGTGTCTGTGTGAAGAGTTATTGGGTGTAATATGTCAGTTTACTTTATGTTGCTCTCCTCACTCACACACATGAGCTATAGTGTCCTGATCACACTAGTGAAACACATCAACAATTATATCTGGTGTCTGAATAATCTTGGTTTGACTTTAACATGTGTTCAGACGTTCACACAGTGTGTGTGTGTGTGTGTGTGTGTGTGTTAGTCTGCGCAACGTTTGAGTGTTTACTGTGGACGAGAGCCAGAGCCACAAGTGTGTGTCTCATTCACAACACTTCCTCTGCGCTTCATTCCTGACACACCTTTACCTGCAGGCGCGGCCTGTGCGTTACTGTGTGTGTGTGATGCAAGCCAACACTGCACGCTTCACACACGGTTGTAACACACACTGCAGGTGTCATGACTCTAGCTGTCTTCAGCTCATTGTGTTTGATTGTGTTTGATTGTGTTTGATTTTGTCACTCTTGTATCAAACGCTGTAGCGATTACTGAATACTCAGAGCGATCTGAATAACATCTGAGTGTGTGTGTGTGTGATGGGTAGGTTTAGGGATAGGGTTAGTGTTGTGTGTGTGTGTGTGTGTGTGATGGGTAGGTTTAGGGATAGGGTTAGTGTGTGTGTTTGTGGTGAGTTTGATGGGTAGGTTTAGGGATAGGGTTAGTGTGTGTGTGTGTGTGTGTGTGTGTGTGTGTGTGTGTGTGATGGTAGGTTTAGGGATAGGGGTTAGTGTGTGTGTGTGTGTGTGTGTGTGTGTGATGGGTAGGTTTAGGGATAGGGTTAGTGTGTGTGTGTGTGTGTGATGGAGTAGGTTTAGGGATAGGGTTAGTGTGTGTGTGTGTGTGTGTGTGTGTGTGTGTGTG